CTGCTTTACTTAGTTTCGCAGAGATAATTTTGTTATATTCATACTTAAGGGTTGCTATTTTCCTGTGCAATATAATAGAGGGGCAGTGTGCATTTTCTATGTCAGGTAATTTAATTTGATCTTCTAATTCTTTTAATTTGGTCTTATTTTCTTTTCGCCTAGAAGCTTCAAACGAGATGATACAGCCTCTTATGTAAGCTTTGAATGCTTCCCAGAGGATGGAGGGAAAGGTATCAGGGTTGTCATTTATTTCAAAGTATAAGGAAATCTGGTCTTTTAAGTATTCACAAAATTTATTTTCAGTGAGTAAGTGCGAATTCAGTTTCCAAGAGGCGTGCGGCTTATCTACATGATCTAAATACAACGAAAAGGTGAGTGGGCTGTGATCTGAAATCACAATGCTGTGATATTTAGCATTCAATGTGGACGGTATGAGTCTGGCGTCCACCAGGAAGTAGTCTATCCTACTGTAGGAGTTGTGTACAGGTGAAAAAATGAATAGTCCCTACCTGAAGGGTTCATCACTCTCCATATATCCAGTACATTCGTGTTATTAATGAACGTATTTAAAAATTCACTAGAGGCATTTCTTGGGAGTCTCTTCGTGGAGGATCAATCAAGATATGTGTCAAGGACAGTATTAAAGTCGCCCCCTATTATCAAGTGTGTTTGTGAGATGTCTGGTATCAGGGAAAAAACCTTCTGAAGGAATATGGGGTTATCTATGTTGGGAGCATATATATTTACTAGAGTGAGGGAAATGTTGAGGATTTCACCAATTACGATAATGTAGCGGCCCTCTTTGTCAGTGATTGTTTTTTTCTGTAAAAAGGGCACACCTTTTCTCAGTAGAATGGCCACACCTCTTGCTTTGGATGAAAAGTTTGAGTGGTAAACTTCCCCTATCCAATTTGCTTTGAACCTGCCATGCGAGCCACTCTTCAAGTGAGTTTCCTGTAAGAACATAATGTCTGAGGTCAGTGACTTGAGGTGGGTCAGAACTTTACCTCTCTTGACTGGGTTGTTTACTCTGCGTACATTCCAGCTGGAAAATGTGAGACCCTTCATCCCTCTGCTGTCATTGTTTAAACTATCATACATCAGGAATTTGTGATCAGTACAGTATCTGTAGCAGTGCAGCTGTCAATGTGTAGGATTTGAGTGAATGGCCTTCCTTTCCCTCCCCTCCCCTCTACCCCAGTCCGCCCCACAACCGTTATCAAGGTCAGCCCAGTCCCCATAGTAACAAATGAAAACAAAACTACTCTAGCCAATTTGAAGTGAATGTGGCGCGAGCCTTCTTAAGGAAGTATGTTCAAATAAACCAGTAACTTAAGTTACTTCCCCACACCTTCTGGTGGCCTGATGCTAACTCCTATCTGTGATCCCATAGCTTGGCAACTTACATAAAATGTTTAAGTAGTTTAGTGAAGAGAAGAAAATATGATTAGTTAGAGTACCATAGTAATATAGTAACCATGGGCATCACACACACACACACACACACACACACACAGAGAACTACACGCACACACACATACACAAATATAAACATTTACACAGGCCCACACACCCATACACATATGTATACCCATATATCCAATATGTATAGCTTCCTCACTATTCGTTACAACGTTGTGTGTCTGTCCGTCTGGTTTTTGTGCTGGTTTTTGCCCCTTTTTTTATTAGAAATCGATCCATTTTGTGCCTGCATCTCACGCTGACTAGCGGAGCTGACGTAACCTGGCTGCCAGCGTGCACTGCAGTCAAATGTAAACAATGCCATAAGCAGGCTGCATTGCCAGGTTTCACAGTGCCCCCTTTAGGAAACACCATTAATGAAGGTGAAAGGAGAAGTGTAATGCAGTGCAGTGTTCACTGTATATTTATGTAGCGCATTTGAAAAAATGTATTGGCTGTGTTACCATATTGTTATAAGCTACCATGCGAGCCACCAATTAAAGCTTGACGAGCCGCATGTGGCTCGCGAGCCACGCAATGAGTATCTCTGGTGTAAAGGGAGTATCTAGACGGGTAACTTGCTAGAAATGCTCTACAGCGACACTAGTGGCTGGCTGACCTAATCGCTCTTCCTGCAAAGCGAATGGGGGAAATGGGCAGAGAGCAGAGTGCCAGGCGGAACACAGGGGATTTGAATGGGACTTATTGTATCGATACTCACGGCTGAAAAATCTATACTTTCTGGGGAAACAAATTATCGATATATATCGCAGGATCGATAAAATCGCTCAGCCTTACAACAGTACCACCATGATCAAGCACTTGGCGACGGGGGCAAGGAAAAACTGCCTTTTAAGAGGGAGAAACCTAGGATAGATCCTTCGGCTTCGGTGGGTGGTCGTCTGCCTCGACCAGTTGGGGTGAGAGAGAGAGAGAGAGAGAGAGAGAGAGAGAGACAGACAAACAGACAGACAGGTGCACAGCAACAACAGTAGCAACAACTACACTAACAGTAGTGACTGATGATGATGAACGTGAAGAAGACGACGACGGCGACAACAGCAATGATGGAGGACAACGAGCAGTGACAACAGCAACAACAGTAACCGTAGCAATAATAACACTAATATCAGTGATACTAGCAAAGTATCCATGAGAACCTGCGAGACGAGAAAGCACAAGAACTCTGGGGAAGAAGTGAAGATTAGCCTAGCTATCCTCAAAGTACAGTAAAGAAGAAAGTATACCTAAGTTCTGACTAAGGCCTGCTCAACTGTTATTGGAGAACAGAGCAAATAGAGGCAGGACTTAGGAAGAGTCTAATGTGGGATAGCAATATCTCAGCTCTAGAGATCCTCGAACCCAGGATACACTGGAGGGATTACAAAACCCATCTGGCTGAATGTTTCCAGATGCCTCAAGTAGACCTTGACCATGTGGCTAGGGAAAGGACATTTGATGGCTGTAGCCTACTCAAGATTTGATACAATTAGTAATACTGAATCATCATAATCATTTCATATCATATCTATGATGTGATTTTCCTTTAAATTTTTGGAACAAAAATTAAAATTAAGACTGAAGAAGATTTTAAAAATTCACAAAATATATATTTTCTCTTATATTTTAAATATTGATTTATAAATCCATATTTATTTCTGAGGTAGGGTATAAACATATCACAATTTATATTTATTTTTCTTTGTAAAAATGAATCTTATGCCATTTTTTTGACAGTTATTTTCTTACCTTTTGCACTTTCTGACTCTAATTCCAAACAGTAAGGTACATCCTCAATCACTTACCACCGCCCTGTTTTTGCGCCTTGATACAGCTACTGACGCGGGTGACGTAGTTCGTCAAACAAGCCAAAAGTAGAGAGTAGAAGAGCACACTCTGCTGTTTAAAGAGTATTGTGATTTATTTTCCACCTTATCAATCTGAATCTTCACATATTTATATCATGATTTAACTGCCTTGCGATATGTCTTTACATTCCTAAGGTTTGAATTAGAATCAGAATAATTGGATATACATAATACACTTCATATCAGATTCTATATTCATTTGTGATGAATATATTTGGGGATGATTTTACGGATTTCTCAGAGCAACATGCTACAAGTATCTGAGAGGTTATATTGATTTTTATGACCTTTAAGGACTGATCTGCTTTATTCTCCCCTGTGTTAAGACTTGGAGATTCTTCTATGAACCTGAATAGAAGCGCACTGGAGTTATTATTTCATCCTGCCATCATGAGACTAAATGATTTATACAGTCATGTTCTGTAAGTGTAGTTCAGTTTTGTGTGACATCAGAATAAATGCTGTCTATTCATCTGTCTGTTTCTATGTAAAAGACTATGATGCAGCACAAGTCACATGGCTGGCCCAGTCTACTGACACTGTACATGTTCACAGTGGACAAAGGGTCCTTTTCACAGGACCGCCCTGTTGCTTCAGGATTCCTTTAGCTCCGAGGCGACAGTAGTGTGTGTGTGTGTGTGTGTGTGTGTGTGTGTGTGTGTGTGTGTGTGTGTCTGACGCTGCTCTTACTCCTCATCTAAAAACAGTTAAGACTATGCCTCTGCTTCACTTGCATTCCTCTCAGTGTGTGAGGAGGTGGGGAATGAAAAATAAAAATAAAGGACTGGAAAACCTGCCTTGATTCATAAATGATAGCTACTATTTTTAGCTGTACAGAGCGACTCCGATGCAGTCGAAGAGGAACTCCCTTTATGGCAAATATAATCTTCTGTTCAACTGGAAGGACACAGAGCAGCTGCCTGTATGCATGTACACAGTTGTTAGCAGGCTGCTGTAATTAAAGAGCCAAAGTGAAATGACCACATCTCAAAAAGAAAGCAGCAAAGCATTTCACAGTTTAGGACATCCAGAAGATCAAATCATTCACACAGATCCGTGCACACCTGACCTCATCACCTTATCCAGCTTGAAAACACTTAATCAGCGTCATTATATAAATGGTCATGTCCATTAGCAAATGTTATTTTATTATTTAGACTTAGATTAAAATCAGAGTATAGTAGAGTAAGCGTTTTTGTTACTTTACAATGAGCCGTTATCTACAGAGGGAGAAGAACCTCTTCTGGCAGCCGCTATATTTCTTGAGTAGCCCAGAAAGGAGAAACTAAACACTGGATCTAGATAGGCCCTTTCATGGTTTTTGTGGCCATTGTAGTTTGTCCTTAAGCTTGGAAGGGGAGGATGAGGTGAGGGGGTTGTAATCTGCAACTACACTGCTCGATGCCACTAAATCCTACAGACTGGTCCTTTAAAATTACCCAGTGGACATTTCAAAAAGGGGAACTCAGTACTCAGATTTAGTGGTAATTTCCACTTGAAGAGGTCAGTAGTGGTTTGGGGAATACATTTGTCCTTCTGCCTTAAAATCAATACAACATCACTGCATAATATCTCTCACTGATACCAGCAAACCTCCATTCCCCTTCTGCTCTAATCTAAGGCTACATTATGGAACACATATATTCTCTCTCTCCTCTCCTCCAATCACAGCTGATCCCTTGGTGAGGCAGGTGAAGAGGACTCGCATCAAAAGAGAAGACTTTCACATCCTGAAGGTGATTGGCCGAGGCACATTCAGTGAGGTGAGCAGTATTATTAACCAGCAGGTTCTGACGTAGTATTTATTAGAATTGTTTCCAGAAGAGTTTGAATTATTTATTTAGTTGTTTTTTTTACACTGCATTGGCACTGCATATTTGAACATCTTTTCTTCTCAATCATCCTGACCATCAATTGTAACATCAACAGAAAATGCTCTTTTCTGTTGTTTTGGGTGCTTGTGGTATCCATCTATTTAGATGTGGCTTATTAATATCTTAAATGATCATTAATTAAGCTCATTTTGTAAAGAGTTTTATATTCAAGCTTTTCTGGATACAGTTGCAAATGTGATTTAGGTTTATGACTCCTGTTTTCTTTCTTTACTTCTCTTCCTCTACACTCAAGTGCAAGTTTATTAGGTGCGCCTGTACAATTGAATGCAACCCTGCAATAAACCCTACCTTTTAAAGGTTCCACTAAGTTTTGGTAACACTTTGTATTAAAGCTGCAACAATTTTTTGTCATATCTGCTGAAACTTTCACTATATCATGATGGTAGTACATGAGGCAGTTAATCTTAGAAGAAAGAGAGTTGATTGTTGAGTCTCATTCCCAGGGTGTCAAATACAGATTTTTTGGGATCCTAGGAATAAGGCTGAACAATCGACTATCTTCAAGCCTCCAACCAAAAGTGTCTAGTATCTTTCTCAGCTTGGTTGTTTTAGTCCAGGCCTTGCAGATTCTTGCAAATACCATTTGGAGAACTAGAACAAGTCACAGAATATCGTGATATAGTGAAGGTTTCAGCAAATATGGGAAAAAAGTTATTTTATATTACCTACTGCAGCTTTAAGGAACACATATTCACCACTAACTGGTTGCTTATTAGCATGCATATTAGAAGCATATTGGCTCTTTATTAGACATTATAAAACGTGTTAATTACTTACACTGCATGACCATGTTTTACAACTACTAGGCTAGTAATCCTAATTTCTGCTTATTGATAGTAAGTAGGGAAGTTGTTATACATGAATTATGATCTAAATATGCTTTACTCAGTGTGGGCCTTATAAGGTGGTAGTTCAATTCAATTCAATTCAATTCAATTTTATTTGTAGAGCGCCAATTCATAACAGAAGTTATCTCAGGACACTTTTCAAATAGAGCAGGTCTAGACCGAACTCCTTATAACCTTATAGTACCACAAGAAAACTCATTCTCCCTTACTAAATGATTCCACATTGTAAAATGTAAGGTCCTCTTCTGAACTAATATGCTTTTCTTAGAATGGGCCAAAGTCACAAGGCTTTGAACTATTCAACCTATATCCAACTTGAGTGAAATCTTTTACAAATTATCATTATAATTTCAATGATCACAGGTTAACTTTGAGGTCTTGCTTAGTTATGAGCAAGGGCTCACTTTAGAATGTGGAACATATACACATTGTAATGTAATTATTTATCTTTCGATTTTTGTATATACAGTACTCTTTATATGATTGTATAAACAGCAACACCTCACTCTATCAAACAGCTGTAGATGACTCAGTGACTGTTATTGAGTTTTGGATCATATGTCTATACTATTGCATGCAGCCATTTTGTGCATGCATGCTTGATGTGGTTATTTGGTTATTCTGTTTCATCACTGTTGCAGGTTGCCGTGGCAAGGATACGAAGCACCCAACAAGTGTACGCTCTGAAGATAATGAATAAGTGGGACATGCTAAGGCGAGGAGAGGTACACACACAAACACAAGTCTACTGACAAAGAATATGGACAGTTGCTGGAAGATAAAAGGGAGAAAAAGCCAAATTGAGGCACATGCTCTTTGATTCAAGCTTCAGTTAACTTTGTTGTTTGTAGCTCGCATTTACCTGCATCTGCCTGTGTGTTTGTGTGTTTGTATATAGACAGCATGTTACCAGGAGGAGAGGGAGGTTCTGCTGAGGGGTGACAGACGCTGGATCACAGAGTTGCACTATGCCTTTCAGGATGACAACTATCTTGTACGTATGAACACAGCAAATTAGTTCTGACAAACGTTTTTCAAAAATGTATTCTGCTAGTCCTTAGCATTCATTCCCTCTGGCTTGCGACCCCCATGTAGGTTGAAGAATATCTTCCTCCTGCTAAAAACACATCTTAAATACTTTTATAAAAGTTTAAAATGTATACATCGTTTTACTGATGAGGTAAAAAACAAGAGCCTTAACTTTGCCTAATTGCACATATGTCTCAAGTGCACATTCTGTTTGTTTTAGTGAGGGAAAAAAAATTAGAACCTGTTAACCTAAATGCCTTTTTTTCTCATTGATAAAGTATTTAAAATGTCTATTGTTTTACTGATGATGAAGTTGTGATTTATCAAACGCACATCTTTCAAAATGCTGCTTTATATAACATTTCTTTATACGCTGATGATCTGCTTTTGTATATGGATCAGGTACCAACAAAACTTCCTAATGTCTTAAATATTTTCAGCAAATGTAGTTTTATATCAGTTTACAAGGTTTTTTTAAATTAATAATGATTAGATGCAGAAATAGCAGTAAAAATGGTCAGGAACGTTTATTTTTGCACAAATTTACTCTTCTTACTGTGAATCGGGTTGCCATGATTTGTCATTTTTAAAAAGTGGGTCCCCAGAAAAAAAGTTTGGGAAACACTGGTCTATAGCATGTGCTGCATTTAACTTAAATCCCACTGCTATTTTCCTCACTCATTCAATTAAATTCAATTCAATTCAATTTTATTTGTATAGCGCCAATTCATAACAAAAGTTACACAAGGCAAAGGCGGGAAGGAAAAAAGTCTTTATAAGAGGTAGAAATTTTGGTCAGACCCCGGCTCTAAGTGGGTGGCCGTCTGCCTCAACAAAGGTGCACAACAACAACAACAACTATACTAATAAAAATGACTGATGATGATGATGATGATCATCCACCCCCTTCTCCCTCAGTACCTGGTGATGGATTACTATGTAGGGGGGGACCTGCTGACTCTGCTCAGTAAGTTTGGAGACCGGATCCCTGAGGACATGGCTCAGTTCTACCTGGCAGAGATGGTCATGGCCATTGATTGTGTGCACAGATTGGGCTACGTACACAGGTAGACTCTTCTCTTTAAAAGATGGTGCTTGTGTTGTTTTACCTCTTAGATTCAGAGAGTGCAGCCATGTACAGTTTAATTACTATTTTGAGAAAGAGAACTAAAGTATGAACATTGCTTTGGTTGCATTGGTTCAAATACTTCTTAGTATTAAAGATTAACATAGCTCACAAAACATTCATGCACTGTGTCCTGGGACTGTAACATGACATGGATAAAAATACTCCTAACAACCTATGACATTTTGTTTTTGATTAATGAAATCTGGCCTCCTCTGCTCTGATTCTTATACAGAGACATCAAACCTGACAACATCCTGCTGACAGCTGATGGACACATCCGACTAGGGGACTTTGGTTCCTGTCTGAGGCTCCTAGAGGATGGGATGGTGAGATTTAGCACTTACTCTTTGAGGGGGAAAAACCTGCCAAACATCCAACTAATCAATCATTTTTCATTTACGTTAACCCTGCAGGCAAAAATGGCCCAAATTAGATTGTTTTTGCTCATGTGTGACTTAAATCAGTTTTTTCTAACAGTGTATAACACAAACCACATTGAATCTGATCTTTTCATTTCAATTTGGGCCACTTTCATATGTGGTATAGGTCAGATTTTTTGGAATATGACCATAGTCATATCATACACAAGCCCTGTGTCTTTGGCGCTGCCTTGCTGCGGCGACATACAGCAGGAGCCGAGTGTGTGCGTATTTGTCTAAATGTGTTCTTCGTATCTTGTCTGTCATGTTTGAACTAGCTGCGGGAATGTAAGATGTAAGAGTAGCCCAATATTTTGGAATTAACATGGATCTGTTCAACACGGTGCTTATGAGTATGCTTACTCTTGGGACTGTTGTGAACCATCGTCAAACCAACTCGTCTCACAGACTGCAGTACAGTCGGGACTTCCTCATCCAATGCAGTTCAGCCCCGTGGACCCTACGCGATGAAATTCCACCAGAGATTCGCAGGTGCGGGTCTGCTTGCCTCGTTCAACAAACAACGCTGGGGGTGAGGATTAGTGGCCGAAGCAGCGGAGCATGAGGAAGATGGCGTGGGCCTGTCGTCGGACTGCGGTCGACAGAAGCGGGTCGGGTGAGAAAGCGTGGCTGGAAAGGAGGAGCGCGATAGAGGCTACGCAGAGCTGGATTGCGCCACCTGCCACTTCCCTCTGTCATCCTTGGAAAAGTACAATCGTTAAGGAACAAAGTGGACGAACTGCAGGCAAACGTTAAATGTATACCGGAGTATAAGAATGCCTGTGTCATAGCTTTGACTGAGATTTGGTTAAAAGAACATGACTTGGGCCAGGATCTTGAAATCGATGGTTGTGGTCAGCCTATTCGGTTAGACAGAGACACCCAACTGACTGGCAAAACACAAGGAGGGGGCGTGTGTCTGTAGGTCAACTCACGCTGGTGTAAAACTATCATAATAAGGGAATCTATCTGTAGCCCACATATCGAACTCATATGTCAGAAAATAATTGGCACTACCTCAACAACATTGGGTATGTGTATGAGGCCAGAGCCACATTTTGGCTAACATCACTCACCCACTACACTCTGAGCTTTGCCTCCGACCATCAGGAAGGAGGTATACCTCCCAAAAACGTGCCAGGTCTAACAGATACCTGAGATCATTTGTACAATCAGCTGTTGGGTTTCTCAATAAACTATAGGTCATCTTCCATCCTTGTCCATGTCACAGTAAATTTTTTCACTTTTTATTTATTTTTATATATATATTATATATATATTAATATATATGTGTATTTATGCTTTTATTTATTCATCATTTCATGTTTTTATGTGTTTTTGTGTGAATGTGTATGTGTTGGCTACCTGTTGTGAACCAAATTGCCCCTTGGGGACATTAAAGACATTTCAGTTCAATTCAATTCAATAGTTTGTGTGACTTTTACGTCATGCAGGTCCCTTCGGGACTGTTCACACTGAATCTGATATGGTTCACAGTCAAAAACAATCTGAACAGCTAAACAAAAAAAACATCTGATCTGTGCAATAAATCATAAATTGAGCACTAAGGCTAGTAGTGTGAACGTAGCCATAGATAAGATTTTTTAATTTCATTGATTTTTTATGTCATTGCAGGTTCACTCGTCTCTAGCAGTTGGGACCCCTGACTATTTGTCTCCAGAGATTTTAAGGGCAGTGGAGGGAGGTGGAGGTTATGGTCCTGAATGTGACTGGTGGGCTCTGGGTATCTGTGCTTATGAGATGCTGCTTGGGACCACACCTTTTTACGCAGAGTCCATCTCTGAAACCTATGCCAAGATTATCCACTTTCAGGTAAACCCACAATTTGTAAAGAACTGAAAATCTGAATTTCAGTACTTAAGGACACTGGCAAATCAAATATACAACTTCTACAGCACCTTTATTAAGGTGAAGGAAATCTTTTTCCCAACTTCCTTCTTTCTTCTTTTAACCCCCCCCCCCCCCCCCCCCCAAAACCCCAAAAAAATTTTTCCCCCCCCCCCTTTTATAAAAAGGGAAAAAAAAAAAAAAAAAAAAATGATGGCTGGAGAAAAATATAACACGTTTTAGGCTAAAATATAACATCAGATACACAATTGTCACTAACCATCCCACTTTTATGTTTGGGTGGTGGTGGTTTTAGCAGTATGAACACATAAGGTGATACAACTAGCAGCAGTAATACTACTAGTGGTATCAGAAGTAAACACCCAACATTTAGGTTTTTTTTTATCCCCAGGAGTATTTTGAGTTCCCCTCTTCTGGCCCTGAGATTTCAGACAAGGCTCGTTCCTTCATCACTGGGCTCATCTGTGAGAGGGAAGTCCGTCTGGGAAAGAAAGGCTCCAGTGACTTCAGGAACAATCTGTTCTTCTGTGGACTAGACTGGGGTTCCCTACATAAACTCCCTGCCCCCTTCCTGCCTGAAGTATCTGATCCAACTGACACCTCCAACTTTGACATTCTGGACGACTGTCTCAGTGAAATGGTATGCTGGAACGTAGGTTGTGTCTTTAAAAAAAATCCATAATTGTACACAATTATGTTATGTATTTTAAGCACTTGTTTTGTCTTTAAGTTAAAATCAATTAGGGATGAACGAGTACACCACTATCTGTATCTGTTCAACTAGACTCACAAACCAGTCGCTAAATGCTTTGCTCAATAGAGACTGAGCACTTTCTCCCAGCTTTCGTTGCTAAAACGGGGTGGAAAATTATAGGGTTAAAAAGAACCTGACATGCAGAAGACCTGCTTGTAAATACTGTTGTGCCATAAAACATTGCTCGGGACATCCATTTTCAATGTTTTAAAAAGCTCTCTCCATGTTATAAAGGGATTCACTATATCTCCAGTATGTTTCACTATGGAGAGCATTGTTTCAGGTAATTTTTTTCGGTTTCCAGCAAGCAAGTCATGATGCATTTGTGGTGTGCCAAGTTTTGTAGACTAGGGCACGTCATCATGTTTTCTCAACTGGAAGGGCACCCTGGAGGGCACTTTATCACATCTTGTCCATTGGAAGAGCACCTTGGAGGGCACTTTTGCTGCATTTTTCGAATATGGGAGCGAGTACCGGGGAGACAGTTGCCCCAACCAGTCTACCAGTGCCTTGAAGGTTTTTTAGTGGCTGTTCTTACCGCTGCCCAGTCCATTGGTAGGCACTTAGATCTCCAAGCATCAGGTGTCATAAGACTACTATTCAATCAACAAAAGGATGTACTTGAAATGGGCAGGGCTTAAAGTGGAAGTGGGCAAGACTAGCCGGAAGTCTCTAATTTAAGTTTGCAATTAATAGCCTACGGGTTGATCAGAAATTGCTATTTATTTATTAGAAAACAATTTTTCTATAGTCCTCACCACAGTGGCCTGGGTTCGATTCTGACCTGTGGCCCTTTGCTGCGTGTCTTCATAAAAAGCCCCCAAATATCTTTTAACCATAATTCCTTTGGTGTTTTAATTATTTTGTATCCATTTTAACAGTGCAATTTTTTCAGTGTTAGACTAACTACTTGCTTACACATGAACCTGGTTAGGCGACCATTTCCCCACCCATATTTCACCCCTACTCTCCTTCTGATTGGCTCTCACCTTGACATTTTTTTTTCCATCTCATTCCTCATGTCTAAACCTAACTAACTAAACCAACAAACACTTGCCAATCACAAGCTTAGTAGGGCGGGTCTTCACAGAATGCTGGTGGGAGAACAAAATTGAGCATTATGCGGGTGTTAAGGGGTGTGTACCTAGACTCACCAGGAGGTAGTTGTACACAGTAAGAAGTAAGGGTACTTGTTGACAAAAATCAGAAGGGCTCAGTACCTGTTAGTACTAGCCCATTTCAGGCACTGGAACTATTTACAAAACAAGTTTTTGCTATATTGACACATTGTACTCTAATTACTGATACTAAGGGTAAAAGGGTCATATCCATGCTAAATGTACACAACTTCTAATGGAATAACACCAGCAAGTGGTTGTTGGTATCTGTTGTGTCCTGCAGGAGACATTGTCTGATGTAATGGACAGAGCTCCAGTAGGAATACACTTGGCTTTTGTTGGATACTCTTACACCGCTACCAGGTGAACCTCAATTCATTCATGATTAACGTTTTTACTGCATCAAACGACTCCAACTGTTTGGCGTCTTCCTCGGTATGGTTTAACTGGTCTCTCTTTTATAGTCAGACGGGTGCCATCGACCGCAGTCAAGACATTATGATGCAGATTGACCCCACAAGGCTGAGGGACTGCAAGAGCCTGTACACACCAGATAAACTGGTGAGCCAGACCAGACCACATGTCAGAACGTCCATTTGTCTGTTTGTCAGGATGCATCAGTTACCTTGTACATTATACAGACAGCTTTGTAATTCATGTGATGTTTACAGATATTGTTCAGTGTGTTTTCTTTGTTATGCTGGGCCTGATCTTCCCTTGTTTTGAATTCAGAACCAACTGTGGCAGCTCACAGACACTCCACCAGACGACCTGCCTCCACTGCTAGAGTTCCCACTCACTCTGGAGCAAAGACCTACTGCATCCACCCACACCACCGAGGAGGAGGAGGACACTGACCAAATATCAGGACTTGATGAGGACTTGCAGAGGTATCAGTTAACATCTTACAGTAACTGTATCAACGTGCAAAGACATAAGTTTCACTTTTTTTAATTTGTCTTTAATCTCATGTTGTTAAAGAATTTGTGGGAAAATCATATCAGCAACCCAGTATTGTGAGTTGTATTAAATTGTGAGCTGAGTTTATCATTACATCCATATTGTTAATTTTTGCCACTGAAACACAGTGATATGACTGCTGTTTCTGGTTAAACAGAAGGTCTATCACTGTAGGGATCATTTCCATAATGTTGTCAGACACTCAGAATAACATTCTGAGCCTATCAGTGGTACTGGCTGCACCCTCTGGCTTAATACTTGACCAGTTAAAAAAATGATCCCCATTAATCACTTAGACACAAATGGGAAAATAGGGTGCAGGTTGAAAAATACTGAAGTTACCCTAAAATGAACCCTGATGTGAGAAGTTGTGGAGGCAGCAGTATAATACACTGCAGTAGACAGAAAACACAAGTGGGACATTTACCACAATGACTGGATCTGTGTTTCTGAGAAATCACTTTCTGTTTGAAACACAATTAGAAAAAGTACAAGAGCTGAATTATATTTGGGAGTCGAAGTTTACCCTTCAAATAAAGACAAGCATCCATTGCAGCAAAGTTACATCATCCCAGTTTCACTGAACTCAGCTGCAGATATAAAACAAGAAGAATATGTGATGAAACTTTGAAAACACACAAACTTGCCCCCTTTATTCAACAGACGGTTACAAGAAGCAGAGAGGAGATATTGTGAGCTGGAGAAAGAAATGGAGCGACTGAAGGGGGAGATGCAGGACTGGAGAGCCCCCAAGGAGACAGGCAAGGGATCAACCCCCCTGCTTCCTCATCAGGCCATCATCTTCCTCATCATTATAATCATCCACCTAGCCGTCTGTTCCTCTCTGTTACACTTTATTTTCTATGCATTTATGCCATGACACTGTAGAAACAGGGATGGGACGATACACGTTTTCATGTACCGCAATAAAAAACCCTTTATTTAAACACAATATTCATCATGGTGAATTGCCATTATCGTGATAAATCCTGATATCCTCACATAGCTTGACTTGAAAAAGTTGCCGAGCTCACCAGCATACAGTCCTATATTGATTTCCTGATTTATTTTGAACCTGCATCTTTCGAGTTATTCCTAAATCTGAACCCTGTCAGCATGGCCAGACTCAGCTTGCCCGTTGTAACCACCCCAAAAAAAAGTTCTACTGACAGTAGAACGAAAATTAACGAAAACAACCAGAGCCAAGAAATATAATCGATTATTGAGTCTCACCCAAAGGTCAACTCCAGATGCTTTGGGACCCAGGGAATGAGACTCAATAATCAACTATCTTCAAGCCACCAGCCCAAATCGTCAATATTTGAAGACCTGGGAATGAGACTAATTTTATCATTAAGTTATCATCCGCAGCTTTAATTACTTAATTACATGTTATGTTATATAGAATCTGAATGAGAAACCACCTAATAATAAAAAAGGCAATAAATAGTCTTGAGACTTTTTTTTCCATAAAAAAGACTTTATTTTTCATGAATGGTTAACTCATATAAATAAAGTGATGCTTTAAAATACACTGCATATTTTGTATTATTTTAAACAAATTTTGAAATGTAAAAATGTAATTATCTCCAGCAAACAGTATGTTTAAAGTTAAATATTCTGTGCACATGATCAATAGGATATATTATAAACCATCTGCATCAGAACAATCAGAAAAAATCAGAACAGTATTTCACTATTCACTTCTCTATTTCCCTTTCCGATAACCCAGTCCATTCCAAAAAGCTATAAATCTTTCATATGATATTTTGACATATAAGTAAAACAAAGTCTCATGTTTACTTTTAACAATTTAACAATTAACAAAAATAGATTTGTCTCATAGTCATCCATGCTTGCTGGAAAAAGGGGTGTGGCTCTTTAGATGATGTGGAACCAGTGCTGCAGGGACTCCACGGGGCCTGACGAAAAACAACCAATCAGAGCTGAGAAAGATATAAAGATGGTGGATTCATGTAAATACCACCAGGAGGAGCCAGAGGAACTTGTTTTTTTCACAGAATATCTGTCTTAGTTTTTGTGAATATGGCAAGAAATCTTTTTTTATAAAAGTTACTTACTGCTGCTTTAATCTACAACAGCATTGACAGTGGTTACATGATAACCATGGTTACAAGGCAGCCAATCAATGTCACTTGCAATTGTTTTCCTGACTGCCAAAACATAACTCATTGGCAATGGCAAAAGTATTCTTCTTCTTCCTTCCCTGTCTTGACTCTTTCTTTCTTATTTGGACTTGGTCTTGACTTGCACTCGAACCTTTTTGAACTTGGTCTTGACTCAGTCTCGACTAGTTCTGGTCTAGGACTTGACAAAGGTGGCCTTGGTTAGCAATGCAAATTTGTTGGTGTACAGAAAACTAAACCAAAAATCAAATAAGTTTGTGGATCTGGATGGGGTCAGATGACAGTAATCACAGATCTATACATCCTCGAAAAGTTATTTCTACTGGAATGGATGGGGGATCTGAATGGGTTTTAAAGGCGGAGATGAGCCTTTTGTTTTCGTTTCAAATTTATCCCAGTTGGTTAGGCCTTTTTTCAGAATGCCAGTAACATTATCTAATCCGCCAGACATCCACACAAACCAAGTACTACTTTACAGTCCTAAGTCTCTTAAGAACAACATAAATGTGAGGTGGAATGAGTTCCAGACAATATGAGCCACTCTGAATAAACACAGTGCTGCACAGTCCCAGGCAGCAGTATCTGCTTATATTGGAGGCCTCAGTCAGAACATGGTGGTAAATACCCACTCTAAGAATAGCCTTGGTATGCAGGAACTTGGATGCCCGTTTCCATAAATCAATACAGTGTCATGAGCTTTTAAAAGAGGCATCGTCAAGGGTCTTCCTGCTGCTGCGCTGATGGATAAAGGTGTTATGAATGATGACCACAACTCCTGTTGTTGCAAAAGCATGCAGACAAAAAACACGTACCTCATAAAACAGTCTATGGCTTAATTCACCTAGGTCACTGCTTCTTCTCTCTCTCCTTTCACACTCACACCATCATCCCTTTCATCACTGCAAATGTGTACTGTTTTTGGTTCTGTTCTGTTTCTTTGTGTTATTAAAAATCTGGCTGGCCACCCCAAGGCTGAATGCCTGCAGATAGCCCGCGTCGCACACCATGAGCTCTGATGTTCCTCTCTCTCCTCCAATCACAGAGCTGAGTATCTGCCCAGCATCTCTTGCTCTGCCTGCCCACTGTGTGGACGCACCAGGGGATGTAAGCCTATCTTTAATCCACATACAACAAAAACACCTTTAAAACAGCATGTGACCTGTTTGGTTCTCTAATTCATTTGCAGAAGCTTTGCAGTTGTTGCGTGAGTAACTAAGACCAGTCTCGCTAACAGGCAAACAGAGACTTTCTCTGTGTGACTTGAAATGTGTAGTGTACAGCTGACCAAGCTCTTATTCAACAGGCCAACCTATATTTCTGTTTCTACTAAGCTGCTGTTTGACTTGCATGTGTTACAGAGGGAGAGAGTGCCCCCAGCCTGCCATTACCCGCTGGTGATTCCTCTCCACCGCCACCTGCTGCTGTTCCACAGGGTACAGTAATACAGTTACAGTTAGACTGATGTAGAGTTTTGAATGCTATACTGAGATTTTTATACCATTCGTATGTTTTATAGTTGTATGTGGGACATCATTTCATCATCAGGGTCGTAGAAGTAGCAGTTTTTATGTAAGTGTATAGTTGCAATACCACAATGTAGAAAGACTCCATAGAAAGTACAACTCTGTATTCAAAACCCCACTGTAGTATAAGTGTGGATGTCTAATCAGCAAACTATACCAAAAGTAAAACTATTCATTATGCAATGCAATGCTTCCTGTCAGTATTTACTTATATATTATTTGACTCTTTTAACATTGACACTGTGTGAGCAGCTGGTTGAGGTGGCGCTAATCTTGACTATTTTACTACTGTTGGGAAGTTTGATATAACAATACATCATATTTTAAGTTTTTTTAAATTTTAAGTTAATGGTTGGTTTAGTATGTAAAATCTTAATCTGCAAATCTGGTACGTAGCTGTCAAATGAATGTGATAAATTAAAAAGTGCAATATTTGTCCCTGTAAGTTAATACAATAAAATAAAATAGAAATGCTCAAGTGAAGTAATAGTACCTCTGCATTGTATTTAAGTACAGTACAGTAAATGTATCTGGTTACATTCTGAAAATGAAAGGAACATTTACATATTAAAGCCCTGTATAAATGGAATGTTCACACTATGTTTTCACTGGGCTGATGAGTGCATTAATGTACTCTTTTTATCATGGTGTTTGATGATCAGGAAATTCTCAGCATAGCTCCATCTGGCTGAAGTGCCACCCTGTTTTGCTCTGTGCTCGACAACAGTTGAGCAACAACAGACAAACTTTCTTGTTTCCTGTACTTAGATAAGGCAACATATGTATAGTCACATTTTAATTTAGCTAATGTTTGCAAAATGCTAGCTAACTAATGATGGATGTAGATGAACTTGCCAGTTAGCTAGTGTTTTGCTAACTACCTAGCTCGCTCTTAAGTGAGACTTAAGAAGAGCAATTGAAAGCATCAGAGTGAAGGTGTAGAAAAAAGGGATTTTAATTCAAGTAAAACAGATGAAACTATTGATTTCTTGAACTCCTGATTTAAGTTAAAAGATTCTGATACACTGTACTGTACGTAAGTATTACTGTCTTTTAATTTGACCATGTTAATGCAAAAAATATCCAAGAATTAACATTTCTAATTTTAGTTATCATTGCAAAAAAGCATCTGAAATTAAAGGCCAAAGTCAACTTGATACATAGTTTAATTGCGTTTTAATCTAATCCAAAGAAATAACTTCATGCTGTGTTTTGTTGTTCTCCAGGTTCGCCTCCCACAGGTGAAGAGTGAGTCATACCTGCTGGTGTGTGCAAAAGGGGGTGAGCTCCAAGCCTGGGAGAGACACTGTTGTACTGAGATCTCTTAAATGCCCCTCAAGGCGGCACACGCTGACTTCTCTCACTATAACAGGACAAAGGACTGAGCCCCTGCTGTACACTCACTCCCTGCTCCACTCCCCAGCCTCCTAAACTTCCCAAGATGAAGAAATAGTAAGACTAAAACACTACTAATGAGAAATGCTGAGGGTACCATTACTGTACGGGATTTTCAAAATGATGAGAAAGGCAGGTCAGACTTCTGAGAGCTATGAGGAAGAAATTATGAGGATATCTTCTGACCTACCTTGCTTGCTCACCAGACTAAAGATGACAATAGAGATGTACTAAGGTCAGAGGCTGCACTAATGTGTGACTGATGATGATGTTTGAGTGACACAGAGGGGCCCAAAGATCACTCTATGCGCACACTATCTTCTGGTCTATTTGAAAAGTGTTCTGAGATAACTTCTGTTATGAATTGGCACTATACAAATAAAACTGAATTGAATTGAATTGGTATCTTAGACCATATAAGTGCATATAGTTGTTCCAGGGAATATTTCTCTTGTGTATCTGCACCTTGGGGTGGTTTGTGTTGCAATACTATAGGCATGTTTTTGCTGTGCCTGATTATCAAGTAGTTAGTATTAGTATTCAAAAGGTTACTAATAATGACCATGATATCTGTATATTAACTTAAGCCACACCACCACAGGCTACTCCAGGGTGAAAGGTGTGCTGTACTTGCTTGTAGTCACTCTTTAATCTATCTTACTACGGCTATATGAGCTCAAAATAATCAGATTTTGCTGATAGCACAGATTTAATTGCAATAATCGGATCGAAAGGTTGCTGGAATAACTACATCATGATGCCGATTTGAAAAAAGTATTTGAATTTTACTTTGTCAGGTTAGTCTGCAAGATGACAAGACAACAACTTTTAAAAGGTTTTTTTTCTGAATGGAGTTTAGATTGATCAACGATATGTTAACTGTTCATAGTGAAGTAAAACCAATGGCTGGAATCAAGTAACAGACACGTATTTAAAAACTCACCATGTAGGCTAGTTTCCTCTTTTACTGTCCTCTGAGCAAAGTGACTGAGTTCTGTCTGGTCTCTGTATAAATATGAGGTAGTATTAAAGAGCTTTGGGTGCACACAGAGGGATCAAGTGTGGGGGGTCACCTCCGTGGCTCACAGCAGACAGGTTGAGAAGAGAGAGTGAATATGATTACACTTTTTAATGCAAAGGTTTTAAAATAATATCTCCTGTTGTCAGTAAACGTCTCCATAAACGACTCTGGCTGTTTATTCCTCGAGAAGCTCCAGCTCTGCCCCTGGGACCCCGGGTCAAGCTGCTCTGTCTGTCCGCTCCTACTCACACAACACTGCAAAAGCCCTGACACATTTTTTGCTTAAAGTTGAATATTTTCAAATTGCGAATACGCAGAAGGCGCAATTTTGCGTACCATTTCTGTTATTCATCTCTTTGCATTGACATGTAATTTCATTGTGCAAAAAATGTTCTATGCTTTCTGTGTGAACACGCCATTAGTGTAGTGTGTAACAGTGAGACACTATAGGCACAGGCATAGTTTTTTCATGCACTTAAAGTTTGGGCTTTTTTGCTTCCATAACATGTTGTCTTTTAGACAAGTGGAAAGAAATCGCCCAAAATAGACATTTAGGTGGTTTTTTTTTACTACACTTTACTAACCAAATGTTAGCATTAGCGTATTATGTCATGTATAAACAAACATTGATAAAACTTGTAATGTTAAAAATAATTTACTTAATGTAAGTAATCAACTGGGGAAGTTTCATGGGGACATCTATTAGCAACTTTATTTTTTTTACCTTATTCACCTGTACTGTCTCTCCTTAATTTAAATGATTAATGGACCTGTACTTGCTAGTCCACTCAAGTCCGACCACTCAAAGCGCTTTTACACTACGTGCCACATTCACCCTTTCACACACATTCACACAGCGATGGCAAAGTCCATCAAACAGAAATACACATTCATACATTCGGGGTTCAGTATCTTGCTCAAGGATACTTCGACGTGTGGCGGCAGGAGCCGGGGATCGAACCAACAACCTTAGAGGACGACCTGCTCTTCCTCTGAGCCGCCATTTAAGAATGAAGCGTCAAGCTAAATCAGGCAGAACACTGAAAATGATTTACATCAGCTGTTTTGCTTCACAATGATCTGCCTCAGTCACTGCTGTGTGGCAACCAGCTGACTAGTAACAAACTACAAATGTGTGAATTCCTTTCCCCACATTTCTAATATCAATTAATTATTATATTTCTTCTCCCTACTATGCCTTACGCACATTACCTGGAGAATCATTCACATGGACAGAAATGAAATCTCTTTATTTAGATTTTGTTTTGGCGTAAAATAATCTGATGGTGGGGCGCCCAGTTAGCTCAGTCGGTAGAGCTGGCGACCCATACGGAGTTGCTGCAGCAGCCCGGGTTCGAACCCGTCCTGCGGCCCCTTGCTGCCTGTCATCCCCTCTCTCTCTGCCCCCCTTCCTGTCTATCTTCAGCTGTCCCTGACTAATAAAGGCGTGAAAAGGCCCAAACAAAAAAAATAATAATCTGATGGTGGTGAATGTACCAGATACAGGCATAAAATGTGCAATTTGTGTGTAAATGTAGAATATAAAATGTAAGAATGTCTTCCTCAGGTTGTTTATAAACCACTAATTCCCAGAAATAATCCTGAGTTTCCTCAATGGTAGCTACGGCCCAAATTATAATGTGCACTCTTCACTATTTTCTCTGCTGAGACTCTCATGCCAATGCTGCCACACCTCCCTCTACAGCCCCAACCATAACCTAATGTGGTCCAAAAGAATTGTCCCAAAAAATTATGTAAATCTGGCTCACAGGTTTAGATTTAGACAGTTTGGGAAAAGCAGGCATTGCACTGATGGGTTGCATTTGAACTATGCTGCATAATTTATCAGCTCCTTTTGCTCTATTCATTGTAAGACTGTCAATAAAACTCTATCTACTATCAGAAAGATGAATAAGAATATGTCAGCAATGGTGAAAACAGCAACCCCAGAGGTGCTCATGGACTGGTTCAGGATCAGTCATTATGTGATTTCAGTCTGATTCACTACTTTGGTTTTGTTGAGTGCCCAAAAATATTTTAGGTAACTCAAACAAATGTATTTAGGAAGTGCTTTAAGAATGAATTATAATGAAAACTAATAAATAAAAAATTAACCCACTTACAGTTGCATGCACTATTAATAAAATATGAAATATAGTGCTAACCTGGTCATTGATTTCGGTGAATGATTTTGGTCGGTGGTTTCTAAACAATTAGCTCTGATTTTGATCGAAAATGCATTTATATGTAAACATCAAAACATTAAGATTTTTTTTTTTATCCTTCATTTTTATTGACAGTAAACATAGTGCAAGAACAAAAAAGATAAAGTCATTAAAACAGGGGTATAAGGAGCATAAATGTTGATTAAAAATGATGATGAACACAAAGGGTACATACAGTACATAGCTTAAGTGTTGTACAGTTCAATAATTCATTAAAACTATCAAATATTTTCATTAATGAATGGCTTATGGAACAGCTACAATATAATGTAGTTCAGGATTAGAATGAATTCTACATGTAGTATGCAGGGGATGAGTACAGCAGATAGGGGTTGAGTTTACGGTCTGCCGATGTAAAGCTGCTGTTCTCGTGGGCCTGCCGGCGGTAGTACCTTCGGAGGGCGGGACTGCCTGGGTGGCACTGTCTCACATGCAAGAAGTACTCATCAGGGCGGCTTGAGGTGAAACCACAGTCCTCACACACAAAGATCTTGGAGCGTCTCTGGCGGTAGGCGTACTGTTGGTGGACACCGTGAATCTTCCTCATGTGGGACTCCAGAGAGCAACGCTGTGTGAAGGCTTTCTCACACAGTTCACACTTGTAGGGACGGATACCTGCAGCAGGGGGAGACAAAAGATGGAGTTATTTTTTGCTGTGCGTATTTGTGTGGATTCAGATTGGCATTAGTGGCTTTGCAGTTCTGTGACGAATCTTGCAACCAACACTGTCGCTGTTAGAATCGTTTGACAGCAGCCTAAGCACAAACAGTCAATAAATATAATCTTGGAGACAAAAAAGAGACACCTAAAAAAGATTGAGGACCCGATTGTGACTAATTTCAAACACCTGTAACATCATATCATACTATTTTATAGTCTGACTGCAGATATATTTCTGAGTCTTTCTCTTTTGCACTTTGTTCTTTTTTAGAAAATGTTAGTATCTTTATTTAAGTACTGCATTAGGTAGAAAGAGACACTTGTGCTATACTAGAGTTTCACTCTAGTATTTTATATATAGTTATTTTTCAGCAGGGGCGATTCCAGAGGGGGACCTGGGGTGGCCACTAGCCCCCCTGAAAATTTGATTGGCTACCCCAAGTGTTCCCCCATTATGCTTTACTCTTTCCCTCACCTTGTCTTTCAGAGGCTGTAGCAAGCTTGGTCATAAAGCTACAGTAAGTCATGAAACTAGATGATCCATCCATTGGTACCAATCATGTCATGCTAGCATGTCAGCAAGAGGGCTAAATAACACTCCATGGTTATGCAATATTTTGGTAATTGAAAAACTGGCATTGCCATTTTCAAAGGGATCCCTTGACCTCTGACCTCAAGATATCTGAATGGGTTGCATGGGTACCTACAAGTGTCCCTTCTGCAGAATTGTTTTTTTTTTTGTAATTGTAATTACACAAAAATGTGTTATTTCCGTCTTTAATCAATCCAATCCCATTCCAAAACTGTGTGTTTGTTTGTGTGTATGTGTGTGTGTGTGTGTGTGTGTGTGTGTGTGTGTTGGGTCTGATGTTAGGCTACCTTCAGGGACACATTTCAGACTAAGCCACGATAAAGGGTTAGGGTTAGGATAATGTTAAGGTAAGTTGTGTGTGTGTGAGAGCATGGTTCATTCCTGACCTGTGTGTGTTCGCATATGCCTCTTGAGGTCGAAGGTATCATTGAATCCTTTACCACAGAAACGACAAGGATGTCTCTTCACCAGGCTGTGGCACTTCAGGTGGCGAGTCAGCATGCGCTGCAGAGGGAATATCTTGTGGCACACAGAGCACACGAAGTCGCCTGAGCCAGGAGAATTACGGGGTCTGGGCTGGTAAGAAGAGATAAGTTCACAATCCTGCTTAATAAACATGATGACACTGAACAGCTCAGTAAAAAGGCTCAAGCCCCCAGCCTGTCACTGGACTTCACCTGACTATTTTGATGGACTTCTTTAAAAGTTATAGGAGATTTAAAACATGAATATTGCAGCAAACAACTATTCTCTATCGCAGCCTCTCTGTGGTTTGTGTCCATAGCCGGACTGAAACTGCTGTTTTTATCATCTATGTCGGTGAATTATTGGAACAGTGGAAAGACTAACAAAGACGGTTTTGGTGAGTTTTATTCTGTCCACTTTAAATGAAGTTACGATGTTACAATGATCCTCGAGGTAAAATTAGGGTTTTTGTCTATGGAGTGTGGTGGTGAGTTACTGCTGTTTCTGGCTAAACAAAAGGCCTATCTCTGTAGGGATCCATTCCATAATGTTGTCAGATACTTACAATCAAAAAAACAGAAAACAGCAAAAAAAACAGCACTGGACTAACATTAGCTTACGTTGTGGCCATTGCTGCTCTTTTCACCAATGTTTTCGCATCTAACTGTGAATTAGGATTTATTTTAAACAAACCAGAATTGGTGATTGTTGGAAAGACAGCAGAAAGACTAACTTAGACAATTTTGGTGATTATTATTTTATTTCTGTCCCATTGTTTTGGGCTTTTGGCATTTCTCTACAAGGGCGTACAAATAAAATCTGTATCATTGTCTTTCCTCTACGTTTGATACTGTGTAAATAGTGCAGTCTAACATACTAAGTTGCTACCACCGTGGATTGCCAGTCCATGTTTCATGTCCAGGCTGTCACTTGCTGATGCTACTTGCTCATGTTATAGAAGAAAGGTCTGTTCTTACCTTTGCTCTGCTGACCAGTGCCAGTGTACTGGGATGGTAAAAGGAGCCCCGGAGCATCAGTGTGGACCAGTCCGGCCTGGTGTCAGCCCTTGGTCCTCCTGATCCTGCTAGAGGTATTGGCACCCTCACTTCTGCTGCTGTCCCACATCCTAAGGTGGCTGCTGGCTGAGGCACAGTGACAGGCTGCTGGGTGCCAGGACTGCAGGATAGCTCCTCCTTAGCATTTTCACTTTCTAAAAAGTGATAAAAAGGAAACAACTGTTTACCATTATAAGTAAATTAACAAGGTCAAATAAATGCCTGCATATGAATGAAAACAGGGATAACCAACTTGTATGTTTTTGACATCTGAGAATATATTTACGATACTTGAAATTCTTACCGACTGTATCATCTTCATTCCACTCAGGCTGTTCTGGCTCTTTCCATTGCCATGCTCCACATGCTCCACGTTTCTTTTTCACAAGGAAAGACCTCGGCATCCTGTGAATTCTGTTTTATTCCTATTTTTTTTGTACTTTAGCCTTTTAACTGACCCTCAACCTCTGATCCTTGCACTCAAACGCCACACCTCTCAACCTCCACAACTAAGTTTTTGGTCTGTTCTTATATCAACTTGGACATCACCTTACAGCCAACCTTCTTCCCTTGACAACCTGCATGCACAGTATCCCAGCAAAATCACAGCGCTCATTTCCATAATACTCTCTGGGAAGAGTGGTGAAGAGCTGTAGAGAAGGAGGGGTAGGAGGCTCAGTGTTTTGACTGGAGTACACCTGTGTTGACTGTGCGTGTGCACCATTTTAACTGGTCCCCCACTGGTTTTGCATGTCAGGTAGTGAGAATCCGGGGAGCTTCGCATTCAAGTGGCCCTTGGCATGCAAATTTTTGTCCCTACCAAGCCCTGGCCCCAGACAAAGGGCACGGTCTGAGTAACAGGAGCAAGCACAGAGGAGCCACAGCCTTAACTGCTAGGTAAATCAGCCCTTTCTCTTTTTTTGGCCTCTTTCTGTTGCAATTGTTTGGTGGGATTAAAGCTTGTAAAAATGCATACAAAGGCCATTCACACACTCAGAAAAGATGTCAAGCACTTGCTGTCCCATGTTTACATAATTTCACATATATGATGGCACTTTTTATTCTGTTCTGTTTCTTCTGGTGCATGCTGGGATAGGCACCAGCCCGTGTGAACATGAACAGAAAAGGGTGATATACAAAATGGATGATGGGTGGATTAAAAACTATAAAATCTCTTACTTGTTATTGTAATGTTATAGAATAATAATGTCATTCTGCAAATGAAGAGCAACATATTTTGAAAGTAAACTTGTATAATAGTCTTCACAGTCAGTGTTTGCTTAAGAGGAAAATGAACTGAGTGCACTTTATTTCACTGTACTATGCATGGCAAATACAAATGCAGGCCGAGACTAAACCCCATCATGCAAATAGCAATAGAGGTCACTCCAAGAACGTCAGAACTGAACAGCAGTATAAACTCACCTCAACCCTGCCCTCCTGCTACATTTAGCCATATGTGGTCCTACATCTCAAAAGTGCTAAACATAATAATAATTCATGAACAACAATCTGGCCCAATGAAGAATAAAGTAAAGAAAAGATACCAAACTCTTTCATACACATTAAAATCAAACAGCTACACGCTTAGTTCTTCAAGTTTTCTGTCAGTGGTCGAAACAGCAGAAACAATGTGTTGCCGCAATAGTCAGATTGGTAAATAATAAAGAAACTAAATAGAGAAACTAAATACCAGTGCTCCAGTCCTGCTCAAGGCTTACTGAAGAACTTCTCTTTGGAGTTCACTGGAATTGGTTTTTACAGGACTGGAGGAAGGAGTAGTGAAAAAACCGATTTGGACAAAATTCAAAATGGAGAAAAAACAATGTAGAAGCAAATAGGTGTGGCTTATATGAAGAGATTTGTCTGGACCCACAGAAAAAAAGACTTTTTCTGAGACTTAAGGTTCAAAAGTTACAGGCCAATACATAATGTCATTACGTCATTATAACACCAGTACCGCCCCTTTTTGTGCTTCAATTACAGTTGAGCAAGTCTCTGTCAGAACCTTGGTCAACTTATCTTTACTGTTCTTAGATATGCTATGTGCTAGGCTCTCTATGTTGAATAGACAACCACATTTTGAAGATGGTTAAAAGATAGAAGGGACACATATAAACTGGTAGTCACATCTGAAAACAGTAGGCTAGTAGGCTGGCTGCTCAGTTTGATGATAAATCTCTTATTGTTGTGTGATGATCTGGCTATATATGCAGTGTTAGTGTTTCCTAAAATGCCTGCAGGAGACTGTTGACTGTACTGTGGGTTGTTGCCTTCCGGAGCTGCGCTCTAACTGTATGCAAAGCACCAGCCTGTGTGCTGCAGCATGGAAATGAAATGGTAAAAAGGTTGCTCCACTTTACTTTGTCCTGGACAAAAAACTGGCTCTTCAAGTGACACCTATCTAATTTCAAGCTCTTTGACTGATTTGAGTTTTACCACTGAACACAGATAGATTCAATATGATTACACACAGCTTAAACGTCATATTTTCCCAGGTGAGAGGTTCCTGACGAATGAGGAGCCAAAAAGGAACTCTTATGGACAGTCACCACTGTTAGTCTTAGCAAACGCTCATTAAAATGTATTTGCACAATTACAAATGAGCTCTCCTGAGGCGTTTACAATAGCCTGACAGTGGTGACAGTTTTTTTTCTTTTTTCCTCTGCTTGAGGTAAATGAAAGTCTGAAAATGATCACAAAAGATTCCATGTTTAACTGTTGATGCGCTTATGGTCAGCCACACCCTTGTCCTCTTTCAGTTAGACAGATAAAGGTCTGTGTGTGTGCTTGTGTGTGCTGATTGATTCTTTAGCTATTGAAACTGAATATTAGGACAAGGAGAGTAAATCAACAGAATTGTAACACTTTGCTTGTAAAAAGATGCTTCGTACCAGCTATAATGCAGTTTTAAGAGTGATCCAGTCCTTTCTTCTTTTGTTTCCCGTCTAAAACATACTGAGTGTATTAACATCAAGCCTCATTTTATGAAAATGGATTCCCATGATGAAATGGATGAACTGGAAGGTACTCATATTTTCGCCAAATACAGCAAGACACACTGTTACTGTCTGCGTTGGTTGCTTATGTATGTGTATGTTAAGGAGTGAAAGGTTGTTTTTTGTCACATACACAGGCAACGTGTTTACACTGTAAAACCAGATAAATTAATTTAACTAAAAAAATGTCCAATCAAAAGTTTTAAGTACAACAAACTAAACTGTGTAAGTTAAAACACCTCTTTTTTTCTTTCAAGTATCTCTCTCTCTCTCTCTCTCTCTCTCTCTCTCTCGTCAAGGCAGATGACCACCCACCTAGAGCCGGGTCTGTCTGAGGTTTCTGCCTCTTATAAAGGAAGATTTTCCTTGCCGCTGTCGCCAAGGGCTTGCTCATGGTGGTACTGTTGGGTCTCTGTAAATAATGTTATAAGGAGTTCGGTCTAGACCTGCTCTATTTGAAAAGTGCCCGGAGATAACTTTTGTTATGAATTGGGGCTATACAAATAAAACTGAACTGAATGGCATTTTTATTTGTACTGTAATAATGTTGTTTATTGTAAAAAGTACTTAATAGGAATATTTCTGTAACTTACAAAACTAAGTTAGTGTCACATTTTTCAATGTAATCTGTTTCAACAATTTTTGTGAGTTCAAATAATAATAATTTATTTATATTTGTGTTTCTCTTAATTGTGATTTTCTCTACCTGCTCAACAATGGTAAATTCAATTTGATTTGAACAATAAGAAATTTGAAAATTAATTTGAAAATTATAATGGTTGGAGTGTGGTGAAATGGCAAAAGCGGCTGGTTGCCTAGATTTATTATTTTCTTTTAGATAAAAAAAAATTAATAAAAATAGGCATTATTGTTGATTGAATTATACATTATTTAATTGAATTAATTGATTAAAATTCAAATTACCTCATGTTAAATATCAGATAAAACCAAATTCCACATACATTACTCAGAAGCATATTATACAAATGAAACAATATATACCATATATAGTCTACATAAATATGGAGCTATATGAAACTATACATTTTTTATGATGACCACCCTTTGATATTGTATTACCACAATGGGGCAAGAATATTCCTGCAATCTATAAAGATGGAATGTATGATATTATACACAAAACACACTTTTGTAGTAAACAAACCTTCATGCCAACCACATATAATTACAATCAATAAATGTAGATTGATTTTTATTGAATGGAACTGATGTCAGGTTTGACACAAAGTACCAGTGAAACAGTATATTACATCAGAATTCACGATGGACAACTACACCTCACTGGGCTTTGAATTAAAAAAAAAAACACCAGAGGGCGACATAACTCCTTTAGAATGGATCTGGAATCCAGCTGTAGTTGTATCTGTATCAGTTATTTAATTTGCAGTGAATGACTCCATGTACCTGAATTACTTCTCTTACTTCTGCTCTCAGTCTTCATTTTCCTTTTAGTTTTCTTCTGGCAATGCCGGAGGAACACTTGCATTTTGGAGGCACCAGCATGTCGTACTTTTTTTAACCATCATATTGCACTTTAGCAGCATCTCTCTCTCTCTCTCTCTGTCTGTCTCTCTCACCCCAACTGGTCGAGGCAGATGGCCACCCACCTAGAGCCGGGGTCTGTCCAAGGTTTCTGCCTCTTAAAAGGAAGTTTTTCCTTGCCGCTGTCAAACTTTAAAATAGAGGTTGTTTTGGTGCTAAGATGTCAGAGCACTGACATCCTCTCTGTAGGCTGTTTCATCATTGCTGGTGATCAGTTGTGTCATCACTAAACTTAATTATGGTGTTGGAGCTTTGGGTAGCCATGTGGTCTGGTGTGAACAGGAAGTAGGACCAGAGGTGAAGTGAGGATGTGGCTTCTGGAGCTCCAACCCTGCAAGTTTTCTCTAAACCTCTTTTTAGGTGGTAGGAGTGAAAATTAGTCATTCTCAACATTAGTTGTGTTCTGGTTTCAGACTGATGAGGACAGTTGGAGAACCGTTAGATACAAAGTAGGATCTCCTCCTTAAATTTAGCTACAGCACTGTCAGATAGACATCTGCTGTAGGAAGTTTTGCCTAATGGCTTATAATCTAATAGTATGAATTCAAAAGTTTTGTATTAAATAATGGTCAGATAGGAAAGGATTATGTGGGAAGACTATTAAATGTTCAATATCAATGCCATATGATAAAACAAGGTCAAGAGTGTGATTAAAACAATTAGTTGGTTTATTTACACTGACAGAAGCCAATTGAGTCTATTGGCAATGACAGCCTTAGTAATGCATTTATATCATTAATAGACTCAATTCCACATTAGTAAAAAAAAAAAATAAAGGAAAAAAAAATAAGGAAAAAAGAAAAAAAAAAAAAAAAAAAAAAAAAAAAAAAAAAATCCACATGCTCATTCCCCCTAACCCCAGCGTGCCCTGGAACCCAGCAAAAAGTAACACTGCAAGCAAACCACATTCTAAAAACCACATTCAAAATGTCATTCATAATGTCAGGACGAGCTGTAGTTTTTCCTGCTCTTAAAGTTTCCAGTGCAGCTGCAGAATCAGAGCAGATAGTGACTTCTTTAGGTCTGGCTTCCTCAATCCACCATAAAGCCCATAGAACTGCCATTAACTCAGTAGTGAAAACAGAGCTTCCATTAGAAATACGTCGACCAATCTTCAACCCAATCTGCTCCACATACACCCCAAAACCAGCTCTCCCACTAACAGGATCTCTAGATCCATCTGTAAAAACAATTAAAGTACTCTCACTGATTGAATTAAGATGTTCCACTATTCTTGGAGTCACTTTCCTCTTATCTTTTTCCTGAAGAAAAGAAAGCTCAATATTCAATTCAGGCATCACCCAATAGGGCATAGGTAGCCATCTTGTGTGCTCTACCTCCCCGTTCCAAGCCCAGCTTCTTAGCCCACTGGTTTACAGTGACAAAAAAGTATTATATTTATTACCTACAATCTCTTGTAACAGACACCTTGCTGGAAAAGTATGACTACACCCCCTAAGTTTTACCCAGTACTGTAACCCTAACTTAATGCGCCTTAACCATAAGGGCATTTCTCCCATTTCAACAAGCAGGGCAGGGACTGGGGAAGTTCTAAAGGCCCCACAACAAAGCCTCATCGCCCTTGCATGCACCACATCTAACTTATCCAGAACAGTTTTAGAAGCAGATCCATACACAAAACTCCCATAGTCAAGAGCAGATCTGATCAAGGCCTGAAAAACAACATCGTCTCCCTCTCAGCCCCCCACTCACACCCAACCAGACTTCTCATAACATTTAGAACTTTTCCACATTTCAGCACAATTTTATCTACATGCACAGCCCAAGTCATACGCTCTTCAAACCATACACCCAAACATTTAAAAACCTTTACCTTCTCCAATAAAGACCCATACATATACAGCCCTATATTAGGTAACTTTCTTTTAAAACCAAATACAACATATTTAGTCTTAGATGCAGAAATTGTGAAGCCCCATGTGTTCCCCCATTCCTCTATAGACAATAATACTCTTTGAATCTGTTTTAAAACAAACTCAACATTACGCCCTCTTTTCCAGATGGCCCCATCATCTGCAAATAGAGACAACCCAAATCCTCTTTCTATTTTGCCAAAGATATCATTAATCATTATATTAAATAAAACTGGACGGATAACACTTCCTTGCAGGGTTCCGTTCTCTACTTCTACAGTCTTTGAACAGACACTACCAACCATTACTTGTATTGTTCTTTTCATTAAAAAATCCTTAATCCAATTAAACATTCGTCCCCTTACTCCCAAGTCAAAGATTTGAATCATTAATCCCTCCATCCACAAAGAATCATATGCCTTCTCAATATCCAGGAATACACTCACTACTATTTCCTTATTGCTAAATGCCCTTTTGATATCCTGATCCAAAACTAACACTGATTCCATTGTCGACCTTCCCTTCCTAAAGCCATTCTGGACATCAACAAAGAGTCCTCTAGTTTCTATGAAGCACACTAGTCTGTTGGTTACCATCTTCTCCATTACTTTACAAAGCACTGCTGTGAGCGCTATAGGGCGATATGAACTAGGGTCAGATGGACTTTTGCCTGGTTTCAAAATAGGAGCACAACTGCATGTTTCCATTCCTTGGGCAAATAACCCTCTGCCCACACCGTATTAAACAAAGCTAATATTTCATCAAGTACAATATCATCCAGATGTTTAAAAAACTCATAAGACAACCTATCTCTCCCGGGGTAGTATTTGCCCCAGACATAATTGCATCCTTCAGCTCTTTTATAGTAAAAAACAGATTTATAGGATTACAGTTTTCTAAACTCCTTTCCAACTTCCACTGATTAACTGCCATCAGCTCAGTTCTCTTCCTACACCTCTCAGCCCCCATTCTCTCTGATCTATGTACTGCTTGAAAACTATCAACAAACATGTCTGCCAAAAAACTTCCTCCAACTATTCCTCTTTGCATCCTTTATAACTCTTCTTGCTACTGCCCTTAGCCGCTTGTACTCCATTACATTAACCAACATTGGAAACTTTCTTAGTCTTCTATATGCTCTATTCCTACTCCTTACAGCTTGATCACATTCCTTATTCCACCAAGGAACCAGCATACGAGTCCTAGGTTCCTGCTTCAGAGGAATGGTACTGCAAGCGGCCTCATGTATCATGAAACTAATGGATGCATTCCAATTATCTACAGAACTCTCACTATCAATCTCTCCTACTAAGCTCTGAACCCTCTCCTGAAATCTATCCCATTTAGCCTGAGAAAAGTTATATATAGGCGCTTTCTTTTCCACTTCTCTCCTCAAATCCCTACCAAACCTGCATAAAATAGGATAATGATCACTATATATACGAGTCTATAACATCCCATTCACCAACTCTAGTTAAGTTTGACGAAGCAATTGACAAATCTATGACTGCAGGTATTTCTGACAATATGATACCTAGTTGGCCTTCCATCATTTAACACTACTAACTCATATTTATCTATAAATTCTTCTACAGTAACACCATTTTTATCCCTATGATCACTACCCCATAAAGGATTATGTGCATTAAAATCTCCAATCCATATAACAGGACACCTTACCTTCTCCATTATCTCATCAAAATCTGACAATACCAAAGGTTGACAAGGGTTATAATAATTTACCACAGTAATAGAATTTTGACTGCTCCAAATCTCCACAGCCAAACACTCAAGATTGGAATTAATATC